AAAGAAGAAGAGAAAAAAAGAAGAAGAAGATAAAGAAGAAGAAGATGAAGAAGAAGAAGAAGAAGAGTACTAATGATGATAATGATAATGATTTTGTCTAAAACTAACAAATTTTCCATAAAAAATTTTGATTTCCGTACGTCAGCAAGAACATAGAAACAAAATGAAATTGCAACTCAATAGAAAAAATATCAGACAACTTCGACAAAGTGAAACAAAATTTTAAAACATTCACACGTATGTATAATATAATATATAAGTACTATATGCATTGTGTGTGTATATATGTGTGTGTGTGTATGGGTGTCTCTCTGTGTGCGTGTGTGTTCTCTAATGTTGCTTAATAATTCAACAGCCGACCACAAATTAGCATTACTAAGGAGAAAGATCAGGGTTCAAAGGTCAGGGAATTAGTAATGATGGTGATAATGATGATGATTGATGATAATGATCAGATGATGATGATGATGATGATGATAATATTGATGATGACGACAACGACGACGATGATGATGAGACTGAACGGATGAAGACGACGATGATGATGGTAATGATGATAAGAATCATGACGATGGTGATGACCATACTGGCCGATGACGTCAGCAAATTTTTCATCTCAAAAAAAATTCCCCAACAAAAAATGCGACATTTTATTACTTCATTGCCATTCTTCGATGTATTAATTTGAATTTTTTCAAATTTTATTTAATGACGTATGAAGCTAATTTTCTAGTTCTGTCTTTTACGCCATTTTATATGCAATTCACTCATTGGCTTATTTCAAATATCAAAAGACCGCCCATTTTTATCACTGACCAATAGGAATCTTGCGTTTCATTCAATAAAGGTTATATATTGTTTTTTCACATTTATTATAATATAAATATTATGATTTTAATATAATATATATGTATTTTAAACATGTAATATATATATATATATATAATCTATTAAATGTTATTGTCTGTATTTATGCTACGTGGATGTTACTGATGATGACGTCATTGTCGTTAATGTCGTTACCGCTGAGGCTATTGATGAGGTCATTATTGTTGACGGCGGTGTTGACGTCATTGTTGTTGTTATTACCGTTGTTGTTGATGGTGTTGTTGTATATGAAGCTGAACTGATTGACGAATGTGTGATGCGTGTAGAAGGCATGTGTCGCTGGCCAGTAGTAACCATCGGGTTTGTCGTCCGCGAAGGCGGTATTGTCGGTGACTTTGTGAAAATCGAAATTGTTAAACGTTGAATCGTTGATGTTGTTGTTGATGTTATGATTGATGTTGATGTTGTTGTTGTTTTTGATGTATTTATTGCTGTAGCTATTAAAATATTGATCGCTATTGTTGTTGTTGTTGATGATGTTGCTGTTGTTGTTGATATTGTTGATGATGATGTTGTTATTGTTGTTGATGTTGTCACTGACATTTGTTTCGTTGTGATAACCTGAACTATAATATAATCAAAATTATTATGCACAAATGTATTATAATAAATATGTACACAGTACATCAAACACTACACGAAAAACAAACATGAAATACAAATTTAAACTTACAAACTTAATACAAACTCGATACAAAACGTACAAAAACGTAAAAAATTAATACAAAAACATACAAACTTAATACAAAAACATACAAACTTAATACAAATACATACAAATCATACAAAACATTCAAACGCATACAAGACATACAAACTTGATACAAAACATACAAACCATTCAAACGCATACAAGACATACAAACTTAATACAAAACATAAAAAATATACAAACGTAATACAAAACATACAAACTCGAGACAAAACATTCCTAAATCGGCGGCCGTCCTATCTCTCTGTCGTCTGTTTTTGAACCAATTACTAACCTGTGTACTGCTGAGACCAGTTTGCCTGAAACGTTGTAACTTTTATCCATGTAGCGATGTTACTTTTAATGTTATCATTAATTTATATGGATGTTTTTGATGTGAATTGATAATAATAATGATGTGAATTAATGTGAATTGATGTGACTAACTTTGCGAGGTCTCTTTTTTCTTTGGGATTCGGGTATTGATTCTTGGCGTACCAATCTCGTAGTAAAATGCGAGATCTTGAAAAATTTTATTAATAATATTCATTCATTCATTCATTCATTCATTCACTCATTCATTCATTCTATCATTCATTCGTCCATGCACTCACCTATCCTTGAAACAGTAGCTTGTTTCCTCACCATCCCATATAGTCCTAGGAAGCGGATATTTTCTCCTAATCCGGTATTTTCCCACAGCACCCAACTGCCTCCCTCGCATTCTGGGATTGTAATTATGACGTAATTATTATATATTTATAATATAATTATGTTATAATTATGAAAAAAATGATCATTAAAATCAGTTGCTCTAGAAATCAAATTGACATCATTAACAAAAACATTAAAAAATCAACAACAACATTAACAACAACAACGACAACAACTACAGCATCAACAACTACATCAGCGACAGCA